TATATATATTGATATTAATTTTAATATTAAATGAATTTAATTAAATAATTGATAAATTAAAAATTAATTTTTATTTTTTAATATAAATTTAAGATAAAAATATATATTTAATACATCTAATCGTACAAGATTAGAAAAGCACTTTATTTATAATATTATATAATATTATAATCTTATATTAATAATATATTATTATATAATAAGATTTTGAAAACCTAAAAAATTAGGACATGATACTCAATACGTTCACCACAATCATATGTTGAATGGGTTTCAAGGTAGGTTCTATTCACAAATGGTTATGATGGAAGTTTTAGAGTATCAAAACATTTTGATTTTTATTTTTTTATAAATTTTTTTATTTAAAAATTATTTAAAATATTATATATATCAACTAATTTAATAATTCTTCATAAATATTTAAATGACTTCCTACAATTGGGTATTCCCAGTCTTTTACCAAAAAGGAGTGGAATATCTAAGGTTGTTGGTTTTGATATTTTTAATCCTTAATTATGCCTTAAGTTTTTCCTTTATTTTTTTTTCTTTTTTGGGCTTTGACGAAGGTTTCCAGGTCAGCAGTGAGCTGGCACATGGTGACATTTCCATATGCACACACAGCAGTAAATGAAAAATGATTTATTGATAATATTTTTTTATGTAATTTATTGCTAATATTTTTTAACAATAATTTTTTTTTCGCTTTCTAGTTTCTACTCACTGCCTAGCCGTGCACAATGAAATTTTATAACATATCTTGACTTAATATTTTTTAGTGCTGCCTGGTCGCTAAGCGTCAGCATGAAGTCTTTCCTCATTTTATTTTATTTCTCACTCTAAATAGAATTTAAATCTTGTTGAAATTTTATATTAATATCTAGATAAATTAATTTTTTTAAAATACATCACATCGATAACATGAGGGTGTTTTTAAAATTATAAAAATTAATTTAAAAATACTCTAATTATAAATAAAATACTATATCATAATTCAAACTCATGTAATCTCTTTAATTCACTAATTTGAACGAGAATATTACAATCAAAGTTCAAGATCCTTTATTGGCAACTTTGATGAAAAAGATAAACAAGGGGCGAATGCAAAACCCAACATCATGCTAAAACTTGTGAAAATAGTAGTAAAATCAAGGAAGAGTAATTTTGTAATGTTAGAATATAACATTGTCGTGAAGAATATTCCTCAATTAGTTTTGATTTCATCCAATTAATTAGTATTGATGACATATCTTATCGTAAGAAATATCTCCTTTCCTATCCAATGATCATCAGGGCTCAAAACATGATAATAAATAAGGGGAAGAAAACTTGCACAAGGCATTGACTCTACTCCAAGGCATGAAATGGAGGGCCAAGGAAGAAACCATGAATGATGTTAGGTAGTTATGGATAATCATATTCACTTTGACTCACTCAACTATATTCAGCACCAATATGAATGTCAAGGGCCCCCCCATGTGCTTTGCAGTGATGATTATATACTAAATAAGCTTTAATAGCTAAAACAGCAAGTCCAAGTCATAATCTTAATCTAATCTGGATTGTGAGACAGTGAGAGTGGAGGAAAATGGAAAAAATGGACTCTATATACAGCTACAGTCATGCCTGTAGTGGCCTGGTTGGAAATGAAGGTGAAGAGATGACAACATAAGCCCATAATTACAGCCCAAATGGTTGCATTATGATTAAGTCCAGTGGCGAACATTGAAGCACATGAAGTGCTGTCTATAATGGTTTACTTGTCATGAAGTAAAGTAGCTACAGCTTGTTTATATAATCCAGACAGGGAATCAGAACCTATCTAAAACAACAGGATTTCATAATATAATGATTATGCTCAAGACGATGAGAAATATCCAAATATTGACTATAGTGACAGATCCTTCGAGATTTTATTGAGCAAATAATTGGATAAAACAATGGGATAAAAGGCAAGCAAAAAGTATCTTCCATCCACTCAACTATCTTAGATTCTTTGAGCCAAATGTTACAAAGTATATCAAACACAATTATGAAGTACTCAACTCTATAGTATCTGAGTACAAAAAAGCAAGCTAAGATTAAAAATGGCAAACCCTTCTAACTGTCAATAGCAGGCAAGGGAGCATCATCTTCCCTTTTGCTAGCTAACTGATCCAAGATTAAGCACATGAAATTGTCATGTGCTTAATACCAAGATACTATAACATCAGAATTTGAAGTTAAGAAATATGAAATATGAAATATTAATATTTTATTATATAAATTAAAATAAAAAAATTATAATACCAAGATATTTATCTTTTGTTTAATAATTAATATTTATAGTTTAGTCTACAATACACAATAAATTTTTTAAAAGAAAAACTTAAAATAAAAGGTGATGGGAATAAGATAATGAAGGTTTAACATGCCTCGTGACAGGCACGTGATGGAACAAACATGAATCCGTGAATGATGAACTACTTGCCAGCAAGAAGAAGACAATCACAATCCACCGTTGGTCGGATCATCAACAGGTGTCTCCACAATCAGACAATTTAGTCACGGGAAATCAGCGGTGCATGTTGCATGGCCCTCCCCCCGAGTCAGATCACACGACAACCTCACCACCACATGTGTGCACCCTCCTCTCCCAGGACCCTGCCTCCTTTCAACGTCCACGTCATCCTGATTCGGCGTCTTCTACGGCAGCACACAAGAGCCAAATTCCCACCGTTGGATTACAATCCTACAGCCAACCTCGTCCGTCCATCACCTCCCCTCAGTTATCCCTTCTAACCCATGCCCAATAACCCAGAAACCGAAGCAACCATCAGGAGTAGGTAATATTGTACTGAGACTTATAGAAAGTGAAGCACATGTAACAAAATCTTCTCTTTTTCCATCCTTTTACTCCTGCTTGAGACAGACTTTTCTTGCTTACTTTCTCAATCTCTGTAGTCTGTAGCAGCTAGAATCCCAGGTGAGCATTCTCAGTCATCTTCAGTTTTTTGTATGCTTAATTGGGTTTGTTGTTTCTTCTGCTTTTGATACGTAAAAAACTCTGTTAAGAATAGGATCCCATGGGGTTTAATGGGTATTCTCTAAATTGCAAGGAAATGGAAGGATCTATTGGGTTTTTGATATTCTGTATCATATGTGGATTTTTGGTTTAGGGTTTTGGGGTTGGTGGAGCATTGGATTTGGGTTTTGGTTGATTATGTGATTGGTATTGTGACTTTTTTTTTTGGTTGATTATTGATTATTCTGTTGGTTAAATGGGGGTTTGTGTTTTTGGTTAATTTAGGGTTTTGCAGTAACAATTTTGAAAATGGAAGGTTTAGTTGTGGTAGTTGATGGATCAATTACGGGGGAGAAGAAACCTGTTGAAGGTATGGTTTCAGGAGAGATGGCAGGGGAAACGATTTTGTTGGGTACTGATGGATCAAAAGAAATGGAAGATGAGGTTTTTGAAGATGCAATTGGTACAGAAGAGCCTTTTCTGGAGCAGGGAACAAAGCCTGAATTGGGTGATGCTGGTATTATCGGAGATGGAGATGGAAATGGAGATGGTGAGACTGATTTGGGTTCAGGGGAAGTTCAGGGTAATTCTAATGCAGAACGTCAGTCTGAGATAGTTGAGGAGGTTATTGGGGTTCCTGGTTCAGTTGGGAGTCAGAAGGAATTGCCACTGAAGGAAGATGAGCAGAAGGCAGAAGATTTGATCACTGGAGAGAGTTCTGATGGGATTGCATTGCCGGATGAGATCGATGAGGGAGGGACCAGAGATGGAATGAAGACAGGTGAAGCCAATGCTGCTGAACAAACAGAACTTTCAAGGAGTCTGGATGAAGTTGATGTGAAGTCCAAAGCACTAATTGAGGGGCCTGGAACTGGAGATTCTGAAAACGCAGATTTGGAGGAAACTTTGGGGGATGCAAAATTAGAAATGGGAGATGTGGATAAACTGAATGAAGGATTTGTTGGTTCCGTTCGAGCTATTGAAATCAAGTCACATGTTTTTCCTGAAGATGGAAAAAGTGAGAAAGCAGAAGAGGATTCATTAGTTTCTGAAAGTCAAGATGATAGTGCTGGTGAATCTATTGATGCTTCAGCTGGCTTCCTCAGCCAGCCGCAAGATGATAAGAATGAACCACCAATTGGTTGGCCCACTATTCAAGAGAGTGAGAAATTGAAAGACACTACAAATGACGTTGATCTAGTTCATGGTCTTGATGAGGGTGAAAAAGCAGAGAAAAGTTTAGCCATCTTGAATTCCAAAAATGGAGATAGCATGAATGGGGAAGTGAAAGATGTTTCAGCTTCAGATTTAAAGCATGATGGAAAATCTGATAAACGGCAAGAAACTTCAGCTGGTTCGTATACATCTGTGAAAGGGGTATTGGTGCCAGAAACTGGAAGCTTGTTTCTAGAGAAGTCAAAAGTTGAGAGGAATGGGAATAGTGAAGCTGCCCAACCTTATTTGACCGACTTCAACTCTCAACAGGCTGACAAAAATGAATTAGTGAGTAAGGTTCGAGACAGCAGTGGTGTAGCTGAGGATTCTGCAAGAAAAGAAGAGATGGGTCAGGGAGTAGGGCTTGATGTTGGTTCTCAACCTCAATGGGCTGGGAAAAAGGAATTGGTGAATAAGGTTCTGGATAGCAATGGTGTGGCTGAAGATTCTGAAAGGAAAGAAGAGAAGGATCAGGAAGCAAAGCACAGCACAAATGTGGATATAAAACATGGAATTCTGGATCGATCTTCGTCATCTGCAAAAAAGAGTGAAGAGCTCCAAAAGCAAAGGGGTAACCTTAATGGAGAACGTGAGATTCCATTTGCCCCACTTTCTTCTTCATCTGCAAATTCTACAAATCGTGCTACGCCTCCTGCTCGTCCTGCTGGCCTTGGGAGTGCTACTTCACTGTTTGAATCTGCTCCTCGGGTGGTGCAGCCATCTCGTGTCAACGGAACTGTGTCACATCCTCAAACCCAGCAAATTGAAGACCCTGCTAATGGGGAGGTGGAGGAGAATGATGAGACTCGGGAAAAACTTCAGATGATTCGGGTAAAATTTTTGCGTCTTGCCCATAGGCTTGGCCAGACTCCCCATAATGTTGTTGTGGCTCAGGTTCTGTACAGACTAGGCTTGGCTGAGCAGCTTCGAGGAAGAAATGGTGGACGGGTTGGTGCCTTTAGCTTTGACCGTGCTAGTGCTATGGCAGAGCAGCTTGAGGCAGCTGGGAGTGAACCTCTTGATTTTTCTTGCACAATTATGGTTCTCGGGAAGACAGGAGTTGGTAAAAGTGCAACTATTAATTCAATATTTGATGAAGTTAAATTCAGTACCGATGCTTTTCAGACCAGCACAATGAAGGTCCAGGATGTTGTGGGCACTGTTCATGGAATCAAGGTACGCGTGATTGACACACCAGGGCTTCTGCCCTCTTGGTCTGACCAGCGTCATAATGAAAAGATTCTTCACTCTATTAAGCGTTTCATCAAGAAAACACCTCCAGATATTGTGTTGTATCTTGATAGGTTGGACATGCAAAGCAGGGACTCCGGTGATATGCCACTTCTGCGCACCATCACTGAGATATTTGGACCATCTATTTGGTTTAATGCAATTGTGGTTCTAACTCATGCAGCTTCTGCTCCACCTGAGGGTCCAAATGGTACTGCCCCTAGTTATGATATGTTTGTCACACAACGCTCACATGTTGTGCAGCAGGCCATTCGTCAGGCTGCAGGGGATATGCGTCTCATGAATCCTGTTTCATTAGTGGAGAACCATTCTGCATGCAGAACAAATAGGGCGGGACAGAGGGTTTTGCCAAATGGCCAGGTTTGGAAGCCTCATTTGTTATTGCTTTCTTTTGCTTCTAAAATTCTGGCTGAAGCAAATGCGCTTCTGAAGTTACAAGATACTCCACCAGGAATGCCTTTTGCAACTCGGTCAAGATCACCTCCTTTACCTTTCCTTCTCTCATCTCTTCTCCAATCAAGACCACAAGTGAAGCTGCCAGAAGAGCAATTTGGTGATGATGATGGTCTAGATGAAGATTTAGATGAATCATCAGACTCAGATGATGATGTAGAGTATGATGACTTGCCACCATTTAAACGGTTAACTAAAAATCAGATAGCAATGCTTAGTAAAGGTCAGCGTAAAGCATATTTTGATGAGCTGGAGTATAGGGAAAAGCTTTTTATGAAGAAGCAGTTGAAAGAGGAGAAAAAGCGGAGGAAGATGATGAAGAAAATGGCAGCTGCAGCTAAGGAGCTGTCAAGGGATTATGGAGAAAATGCAGAAGAAGAAAGTGGAGGTGCTGCTTCTGTGCCAGTTCCCATGCCTGATTTAGCACTGCCTGTTTCTTTTGATTCTGATAATCCCACCCATAGGTATCGTTACCTTGATTCTTCCAATCAGTGGTTTGTGAGGCCTGTGCTTGAGACTCATGGTTGGGATCATGATGTTGGTTATGAAGGTATTAATGTTGAAAGATTGTTTGTTGTTAAGGACAAAGTTCCCATATCATTTTCTGGCCAGGTTACAAAGGACAAGAAGGATGCCAATGTCCAAATGGAAGTAGCTAGTTCTTTAAAGTTCGGAGAAGGTAAAGCTACTTCTCTAGGTTTTGATATGCAGACTGTTGGTAAGGACTTGGCCTATACTTTCCGAAGTGAGACCAGATTTAGTAATTTCAAGAAGAATAAGGCAACAGCTGGCATCTCATTTACTCTTTTAGGTGATGCTTTATCAACTGGGATTAAAGTTGAGGACAAGTTCATTCCTAATAAGCGGTTGCAGGTGGTTATGACTGGGGGTGCAATTACAGGCCGTGGTGATGTTGCTTATGGTGGTAATTTGGAAGCCCAGTTGAGAGATAAAGATCATCCACTGGGTCGCTCGCTGTCTACTCTCGGGCTCTCAGTCATGGATTGGCATGGAGATCTTGCTGTTGGGTGCAATATACAGTCCCAGATCCCTGTTGGACGGTCTACAAATTTGATTGCACGTGCCAATTTGAATAATCGGGGTGCAGGGCAAGTCAGCATCCGGTTAAATAGCTCAGAACAGCTCCAAATAGCTTTGGTTGCCATCATTCCTTTGTTGAAAAAACTACTTGGGTATCATCAGACACAGTTTGGACAATGATGGAAATTAGTAGGTTTGCTTTAGCTGCCGAGCAGTGATAGGTTACAAATTTTGAATGGCCATTTCACTGTGTTCATTAGCAGAGTGAAAGGAAGTAAGCTGCTAAACTTCCATATCTTTAGTTTCTTTCGTTCTTTATATATATATTTTTCCCCTTTTAGTAATATATTCATGGATTATGGTAATTTTTGTTTCCTAGAAATATATATTTGTTCTGATAAAAACATTGCTTCATTTTAACCCTGCCTGTCTCGGCATGTAGGAATGCCAATGTTTATTTTAACCAAAGTCAGGATTATCCAACCAAATAATGGGAAACACATTATTATTATTTTATTTTTTGAACAGATTACAAATAATCTTAATATTCTAAGGGAGGAAGAAATGTGTTATCCTAAGAAATGGAAACTCAAAACGGGGTGTTTTCATTTAAAGGATAAATTGTTAACTACTTGACTTGAATGTGCGGAACGAAAAGCACATTATGAAACCGAAACATTTATGAAAGTTTATTAAATACATACACGCATAAGAAAAGGGAGACAACCATATCTATTGTATCAATTGACCTAGTGAACAACCGTGACATTGTACCCAACTATAGCATCACCGGTCGTAATATCCATCCAATAGGTGTGAGCCAACGCATATCCCCGCGCCAACCGGAAGAGGCCGGTTCCTCCAACAATTGGCATCTCCCTAACCATATCCAGAGCCTGATTCTTGCCGAGGATGCTGATGGAGCTACCATTGTATATGCCATCAGTGAAGCTGAAGCTCATTGCCATGAGCAAGCCTACATCTTCCTGGCAGGCTGAGGCGTAGAGTCCTTGGGCTCGACCCAGGAGCTTTGAGTTTGGATCGGGCCCCTCGGTCAGTGGATCGTCCGCCATCATAACGGCTCCAAAGAGAGTTAGAGATTTGTTGGTGTCAGCAGCTTGAGCCACCCTGATGGCACTTGGGTTCCTGCCACTGAGCGTGTCATGGAAATAGAATTGAAGGTTGGTCAATGTCTCCTTCTTAGCTTCAAGCCTGGTGGCCCAACTCTCTACACGGAGGCTTTGGGCTCGTGGAAAGGCAGCTACCACCACGGTGACGAGCCACAAAATACCACCTAGTTTTGCCATCTGCTCTATGTTTCTGCTTTCTTTGTTGATGAAA